AAAAAAAAAAAAAAAAAAACAGAACCTCCACCTGCAACTTCCTCTCACGCACTGCTCAAAAGCCCAGAACAATAATTCATTCTTTTAGCGAAAAACAGAAACTTTATAGCGAAAAACGCAAATGGGCACACATACATTTCAATAAATAATGGAAAAAAATAAATAAATAAAACAAAAAATAAAACCTACGCGAGTTTGTTCAAGCCCAGATGCTAGAAATTCGGTTTGGGTGAAACAAACAAAAACAAAAATAAAAAAACAAAACACGTATACGCTAATGCCACCGCTTTTCCGAAAGCCAATTTTGTTTTTTTCCTTATCTGTAACAACCATGGAAGGAGAGTTGCAGCGCGTGATGTTTTGAGCTTTTCTTTCATACGGGTTTTTTTTTTTGTGTGTGTTAGTTTATTGCTTTTTAGTATCTCAATTCTCAGTGAAGTTAGGTGAGGGCATGGGTCAATATTCCAAAAAGGCCATGATAGGTTCCAATAGACGAAAAGATACTTTTCATTGATCCTAAAAAATGGTCACGGACTCACGGGTAGGATAAAGATCGAGTCGAAAATGAAAAATCGAGTCGAATCGTACAGTTCGATACGGTACAGTTTGGTTATGTTGGTAGAGAAGAATTTCTATTTGGTTTTGGCTTTGTTAGTTTATGTGTTGTTGTGTTTTTCTCTTCAAGTTTGTTTTTCAATTTTTTTTTTTAGTGAAATCGAAACGAAATGCAATAAAAATCAAGTCGAATTTGTGTAATATATTTCGGTTTGGTTATTTTTACTATGGCAAAATAATAATCGGTTCATTTTTTTTTTTATTAAAATTGTGGTGCATTCGATTTGAAAATTTTAAATTTTTATTTTTCGGGTTTAGCGTGATTAGCATTCAATTAATGACTTTTTGTAAAAAAAAAACTTTATTATATTTTCTCTTTTTCTTTTGTCCTTCTTAGAAATATATAGTAAAATTATTTTTTTTTTTACCAATAAAAAAGAATAAAAAAACATGTGGACAAAAAAAAAAAAGAAAAAAAAGGGAGTGGACAAAAATGAAAATTACGTATTTAAGGAATACGTTTTCTGTATAAATTGTATAGAAAACGTATTTCTTAAATACGTTTTTTCAGAATTTTTTTCAGAAGAAAACGTATTCAATGAATACGTTTTACAATTAAAAAAATGGTAAAACGTATTCACTGAATACGGGTTTTTTATTATGGTGCACTCTTATTTGTTTGTGTATTTTTTTTTTTCCACAACTTAATTTTTTATAATTTTCTAGTAAAAAATTCCATATTTAATAGCAAATCATCTATATATATATAAAGAGGGAGTTGATGGAATTTATTGCTAAATATAGATGATATGCAATGACTATAATTGGCAACATTTCTACATTTTGTTGGGTAATTGTAATTGTAAGGTTAATTATTTTTGTTAAGAATGCCAAATAATTAAGGGAAATACATTAATATAACTAAATTCGTATTCAATTATTTTTGGTAAATTTTAGGAATGGAAAATAATAAGTAAAAGTTAACTTACTCAATTAATTCTGTTTGGAAATATATTAATATTCTTTTACTATATATTTAAAAATGTATAACATCAACTACGGTCACCATATTTCAATCACTTGATACCTTAAATATATTTAATATCATGAACTCTACATATGTCATTACTATGTTTTTTAAGGCAGCAGTATTAGTTTATGCTAACATAACCATACGTATTAGTTTATTCTAACATTACGCATAGATCCAAAAAACAAATTAAAAAGAATATTTATTATGAATAATCTATTTAAATTAAGTTATTAGATGAATACATGATAATGGTGAATGCTGGTAAAATTTCAAAAATGATACACCAAGTTGTGCGTTATCAACAAAATAGATATTTTGTTGTTTCTCGCGGAAAAGAAACATGTAGTTGGCGATTTGGTCGGAAAAGATAGATTAATCACCCCACTTGGATAAAAAAGCTAGCGTGGCCGGATTAGATAGTGACGTGGCATTATAACTTTATTTAGTTCATACGTGTTATATACGTGGCGTGATGTGACGTCATTATCTCAAAATACTCAACTACACATAGATAAATAAAAATAAAATAAAATAAATCCAAAAATAAATAAATATAAAAACACATTAGCAAAAAAAAATAACAATAATTATAATAAGAATAAAAATAAAAAATAGAAAAATTTAAAAAATCCAAAAATTAAAAAAAAAAATTGTTCTATTTCCTTAACTATATATTAATAAAATATTTTTAAAATTATATTTCTTTAATACATATAAAAAATTATTAAAAAAATAAAAAATACTTTGTTAATATTTCGTTATTAAAAAATATTTTGTTAAATATAAATATATTCGCGAATATATATTAAAAAATATTTTGTTAATAATAATAGTTATATATAATTTATTATTAATTATATTATTTAATATAGTAGTTTTACATAAAATTTTATTTACTTAATATATATAAGTATTAAATATAAATATGAATCACAAAATATAAATTTATATTAAAAAATATATTTTAATTATTTTAAAAATATATATCTAAAAAATATATTTCAATTTATTTAAATATAAATTTAAATTTGTGATTTATATTTATATTTAATATACTTATATATATTAAATAAATAAAATATTATGCAAAGTATTATATTATATAGTATAATAAATTATATATAATTATTATTATTAATGAACTTCATTTTTTTTAGTATTTTTTAATATATATTAGTGAAATATATTTATGTTAAACGAAATATTAACGAAATATCTGTTTTATTTTTTAATATATATTAACAAAATATAAGTTTTTTAAATATTTTATTAGTATATAGTTGACAAAATAGAACGAAATATATTTTTTTCTATTTTTTTTATTTTATTTTATTTTTGGATTTATTTTCTATTTATATTATTATTATTTTATTTTTTCTGATGTGTATTGATTTATTTTTCGAGTATTTTTATTTTTATTTATATTAGCGTAGTTGTGTACTTGGAGAGAAGGATGACACATAACGCCACGTATATCACACGTAGGAAATTAAGGAAATTTATAATGTCACGTCATTATCTAATCTGACCACGTCAGTTTTTTTATCCAAGTTGAGTGCTTAATGTATCTTTTCCGACCAAATTGTCAACTAAATATTTTCTTTCCGTGAGGGACAACAAAATGACTGTTTTGTTGACAACGCCAAATTAGTGTATCATTTTTAAAATTTTGTCGCTGAATGCTTAACAAAATACTTGAATCATATTAATGTCAATAAAATTTAAGCATTATTATTGGTGAATACTTAACAAAATACACTCAAACTTACTAAGATACTCGAGTACAAAATAGGAGTAATTCACGCTATAAATCTCATATTCAAAATCTGTGTATTGTTCTCTCATATTCAAATCCGATGGTGGTGTTGATTTCTTGCATGACCTGCACACTCTGAAGTTCTTAAATAGTATAAAATGTTTTGGTGTTCCAAATCATTAATTGCACTTAAAGGTTGAGACTTCTGTCATGTTGTTGAGAAACATTGACCATTCGATTGGACTGTGTAGTGGAACACGCTTGGTGATACCGAAGCTTTTCACTCACGTGTTTGAATGTAAGATTCTAACAGGATCAAATGTTGGACATAAGGTATTGGTACCAAGACTTTTCCTATCTCCATCTGATCTCAGGATACCCTTCAAGTTCCAGCGTAGACAATTTACTCTTATGTTTTCTTACGCAATGACAATCAACAAGAGTCAAGACAGTCGTTATCCCATGTCGGACTTTACATGAAAAGACCTGTGTTTATTAGTCATGGTCACTTATACGTTGATGTGTCTCGAGTCACTAATCCACAGGGATTGAAGATATTAATATGTGGTGGGACGATAATGGGGAAAAGAAAACTACTAAAAATGTTGTCTATCGAGAAATTTTTCTAAATTTATAATACCATATAATATTGTACTTTTACTATCTATTCAATAATAATGTTATTTACTTGTCATTTACTTTTTATGATATATATATATATATTAATGTATTTATTAAAATATTTTAATAAATATGTTCCGTGCATCGCACGGGTGAAGATACTAGTTACATTTACAATATTCCACTTCTTGGAATATATGTTGAATTTTTTTCACCCGGGGAAATTAGTCATAAAAGACATTGAAAGAAGAAAACTTTTTAGTATGAAGTCAACTATTGATTGCTGCATATAAGATCTCATGATATTGGTGACTGAAACATTTATATAATGGACCCATTGCATCTCTTTATATGAAAGCAAAAAAAGTTACTACCTCCTATTTTTAATATATGTCGTTTTGAGAAGTTGCACGTTAATTAAGAAAAAAATTTTTATCAATAATAATCTTATTAACGAGGATAGAGATAAATGTTTTGAGAAAATATGAAGAGTGAATATGAAAAGACGTAATGTATTTACTAGCTAAATGAGGGTAACAATAGAAAAATATGTAGAAAATATCCAAAATAACATTTATTTGACAAATAATTGATAAAGCTAGAATGACATTTAAAAAAAATAGAAGGGATTATCATTTACTAGTTCATCTGTTGTAGATAACTCGTGTAGAGATGTAAGCAAGTTGAGTCGAGTTTAAATTTCTAATACTCGAGTTTTTATCGAGTTCAGTTATTAACTAAACGAACTCGAGTTCAAGCTCAGTTAATGAGTCAGAATTAAAATGTGAACTACATTAAATTACATCAAAAAAAATTATATTTTCGAGTCCTAACCAGACTTAATGAGCTAATATTTGCTCGTAAATTAATCAAGCTCAAGTTGACGAACAACCCGTTTCATTTTATATTATATATTTCTTCTTTCTATACATTTTTTGTTTTTTCTTTTTTTTTTTTGCAATACACTTGTTGTGCTAGTGAAGTTACTAAATTAAAATGTATACAATGATCTAATCTTAGATGCATTCAACTTTTACGTTTTAAATATTTTTTATTAAAACATTTTACAAACTTATATGGTTCTTTTCTTCTCTTTCGTTAATTGTTCATGTTGCGAATGACCAATTTTTGTTCAGATCCACAATCCGAGGAATTCCGGAGCGACCCGAAGTTCGCCGCGAACACTCGATCACCCACTGGAGTCGTCGTAAGCAATTTTTGATACATTTTCATGATTTTTTGAACCTTAATCGATCTTGTTTACTGTTTTAGTTGGATTTTAAAGTGTGAAAATTGGCCCAAGTTTGCACCTTTTCGCCCCAGATCCATTCTAGATAGCAGCAGCAATTGGTAAAAGGGCATATAAGATAGAAACGATGAAGATGTGTTTCTTGGAATAAATTGTTTCAGATTAGAGACAAAATTGTTGGAAAATTGAAGTTCCTTTAGAAAGTTCATCACTGCAAATCTCAAATCGATATGCAGGTAGCCAGCGATAATCCCACTAAATCTTATTATTTCAGGAGGAGGTTTGGGTTTGCAAACAACCTAGAGTCTCTTCCCGGAGATTTGTTATCGGACATCCTTGCTCGTCTACCCGCTCATGGTATTCGAGACTCTGTAGGTCTTGTTTGCCCCAAGTGGTACCATTTGACCCGTACAACCGACTTCATTCACGCGCACTTTCAGCGTGCAACCTCCGGGCTCCTCTTGTACTCTTTGGTGTTCCCTAGAGAACTGATTTTTATCTCCATGAAGGAGGGCCGGGTCGAGAAATTCACGTCCCGCAAGGAATATGGCTACGATGTTTGGTCCAGCTGTAACGGTCTTGTTTTTGGAAGCTCATGGAATAATAAGTCTAAATTGTGCATCCTCAATCCTGCAACCAAGCAACACTATGACCTCCCTCCTTTTTGCGACAAAAGTTACGTGGAGTTTTATTCATGTTTAGCATATGTGGCGGCCTCTAAGGAGTACAAAGTGGTCTTATGTCATAATGTGCGAGGAATTGGTGGTGTGCCGGCTAAAGCATTCACCATATTAACTGTTGGGGTCGATTCCTCTTGGAGGCACGTGCGCACCCAACACTTTTCTGAAACGAGCAGGACACTGCTATTCAACGATACTCCATTGACAACCGGAGGTTTTGTGCATTGGGTCACAAATATGTCTGCTAATGTTTTGACAATGAATGTGGAGACTGAAACTATATCCGAGTCGCGGGTCCCACTTTCTCGAGATCATAGAGGGAAGAGAAAGTTTTACCTCTCGACAGGAAGGTATCTAACTGTATTGGTTGCCCTTGGGAATTTCTCGTGGGATGTTTGGCAGATGGAATCAGAAACTGGGGAGTGGCTCAAGGGAGTTGGCATTGATTTGGAGGATGAAAAGTGGAAGTTTGACCGGTTTCTCCAAGATCGCGAAGAAAATCTCGTTATAGATGAAGGGATGTTGTTCGTTCCGGTCGGTTGGCTAGATTACCCTGAGGTGCTCGTATTTCATCCTCCACCCAGAAATCACAGTTGCATCGTGTACAAGGTTCGTACACGCGAAATTGACTCGTTTGAGTTACCGACATTTGGTGGATATTATATCTTTAGATTCCACAAGAATAGTCTGTTGTCGGTCGGCTGAGGCTAAACAGTGAGTATTTATATTTTAGTTTTCTTACTAGTCATTTTTTTCTCGAGTACAAGCAATCTAATGTATGACAGTTATGAAAAGTTTCTTACTTTGCCATGTTTTGAGATGTTCAGTTTTTGGGTGAGTTTTTTTCTTTGAATAGCCTTTTTCATTTCTCTTGATATCTACATTTGGGAGACTTATGTTAAGATATGATGTCATATGAATAATTTATATATGTGTGTGTCCGTGTGTATGTATGTGAAAATTGATCTTCTTTTGAGTATATGGTTACAATGTCTCTCTCTTCTTGTTTTGGTCCCTTGCGAACAAGATCGATGAATGAACGAATGTGAAATAATAATCTTGGAAGGACATTTGCTTTTTAATTGTTATAGTTAGCTCTGGTCTTTGATTTCATGGCTTTGGCTTTCTCTGGCTTGTTTGCTTACTCAAGGGGGCTTTATGTTATTCAAAATAGCGAGGGCCTGTTTAGCTTTTGTCCTTAATGTTTGTTCAACTATTATAGAAATCTTTTAAATCTTTTTTGGCTAGCTTTTATAGGATAGTAACAGGAAAAAAATGGACGTTATGTCACCCTAACGAATCATTTTTGTTGCTGGTTCTCTGACTGTTTCTTTTTTTGGAATAGAAAAATGCAGCATCAGAGGGAAAACAAATGGGACCCCGAAATTATATGTTGAACTATTGTCCTATCAGTATCCTATTGGTAAAGAAGTGAGGTATAATCTGGCTTTAATATCATTTCTGTAAGATCTTGCAACATTCTGAAGCTTTGGTAATTGGGCATATATACAATTTTATGGAAGTCTTGTTTGTTTGTGCCACTCATAGGTTGTTGCAAATGTTTCCCCAAAGGTCATACATGCAATAGTTTAGTGAATAGCAAATATTCTTGCAAGTTTGTTTAAGGTTTGCTTGCATTGTCCCTGTGCCTTTTATGTAAATGGATAAGATATTCTCGAAGAACTCTTACAATTTCGACACTATTATGCCTCAAATTTTAAAAGTAACTTCATCGCAACCAACAGGGCATATCTGCTGTTGTGGGTTTTATACCATTTCTTATTGTGTTTGTTTATTTGTAGGGTTCATCATTCTCTCCACCACATTTACCACTGAATCTGTAAGTACATTCATTTTACAATCTCCCAAGATGGTTGATTTTTTTGGTTTACATTTCCTTCTGCCTTCGTTTTCTGCTTTTCAGATTAACTCGATGCACGTTTTCTTGATGGAGCTTAGAGAAGTGGTGAGGCTTCCTCTTAAGTTTTTTACTGTTTTTTCTTTCGTTATGTGGCGTGACCGTGTGAGTAGCTATATTACTCAGGTAAATTAATGCCTTGAACCAAAGTGAATGAGAAAGCAGAGTTTTTCTTTGATTAAAAGTTTCTTTTTAAAGAAAATAAACTAGGCTTTATTTTTTTTAATTTTGATGAACTTGTCGACAGATCTTCGCAGAGGTTGTATGGGACTAATCGAATAATAAAAAGTCTTTGCTTTATCAGCATTACCACGCTGAATCCAAGCAAGAGTGTATGGGTGCGGTTGCGGCTCGCTTGATAGTCGAAGTTTCTCGACGGCCTCCAACGCAACCACATGCTCACATGAGCCCGAATCTATAATGAAGTTATTATTATTATTATTATTATTATTATTATTATTATTATTATTATTATTATTATTATTATTATTATTATTTTTATTATTTTTATTTTTATTATCATTAAACAAGTAATTTCAAATTAAGTAGAGATTATTATTATTATCATTAAACAAGTAATTTCAAATTACGTAGAGAGGAAGGGCCATTCAAACCATCCTCAAGACTTGCAGTCAGTTTTTGAGTTCAAAAAATCCACTCTCTCCTTAAATCCTTCCAGCGACCAGCACCTTTTAATATCCCATCCTCTATATTTTCCTCCTTCCTTGATTCTAAAACGAGTTTTCTAGCGGCAGATTTAAGCCATCCTTAGCAAACCGCAACCGTGACGTCTGATTTTCGATCACTACACCAAGATTCAACATAAGGCCACCTCTCAGCTCGTAACTGATTGCTGGTGAATCAGAGCCAGCCTCCGTCGATGTTGGACAAGGTCATTACATGATAGGAGCATCCAAGCACGAGCATTGTTTCAAGTCATACACGAGCAACTATTTGAGGACAAGGTCATTACACGATAGGATCATCCAAGCATGAAGTGTTGTTTCAAGTCTACCAAACGAAATTTATTTGAATAAATGAAGCTTATAAGCTAGCTTATTTGGTTCTTAAACAATTGAAAAGTTAAGTTATATGTTAAAAGTGTTTGGTAAAATTAGTTGATAAGTTAGTTAAATAAAAATTTCAATGAGCTTATTTGAAAAGATACTCAAAGATGCTTATGAGTAGAGCTGTCAAAACAGCCCGCGGCTCGTGGACTGGCCCACCCTGCCCTGGAAAAGGGGCGGGATGGGTGGTTATTTTCAACGCTCGCCAGGGAGCGGGCCCACGCGGTTGGCCCGCATTGGCCGCGCGCTGAAGCGGGCGGGCTAACCCGCGGGTTGGCTCGCCTAATTAAAAAAAATTAAATAAATATTTATATAAATTGGATGGCCACGATTAAGTAAAATCATGATTTTAAATCGGAACCATTGAATTATTCTCTTGAAGGTCAGATGCAAAAAACACACAACTCTAAGCCCTAACCCTCACCTCGCCCGTCGCCTCCACTCCACACGTTGCACAACAACAGAAGAGATCGTCTCCCATCTCAATCCTCGGCGATTCAATCTCTCCTTGTAGCCTCTCACCGCCCACGCCTTTGCCTCCGGCCTCGACCTTCAAGAACCGCTTCCAACCTCCGCCACACTGCCCCGGCCTCTGCCTCCAGCCGACCTCCGCCTTCGAGACCATATGCCCTATCCTGCTCTAGGTCTCCATCAACCAAAGCTCGGCTCGAAGTTCCCGGTCTCCATCACACCGTTTCCTTGTCTCCGATTCTTTGAGACTATTTTTTTTTTTTTATGTTTGTAGCAGGTTTTCTATGGTCATAAATCATAAACTTTTCTTTTTATTATTTTTTTTTCCTATAAGCACCAACATTTTTTTTAAATTTTTTTTTAACAATAAAAGACTAGTTCCTTGCTGCAGGCCCAATCCAAACCTAAGAGCACCTACAATGCATGTGGTCTCTTAATAAAATATCCTATGCCACATAGGAAATAGACTTAGTCTATTAAAAAATGTCTACCAATGCAATTAAAGATAGACATGGTCTAGCTTATGTGGCAAAAAAAAAAAAAAAAAAAAAAGAGATAGACCAAGTCCACTTGGGTCTATTTTGGACCAAGTACAAACTCAAACACTCATCATTTATTCCTCATTTAAATTTTCTTTTAAACATATTAGAGCATTTTTATTGGTTGGCATATATGCTAGACCTACTATTTTATTTTTACATTGAATAACTTTTGAGTTTTTTTACTTGAGTTTGTCAATGTCATTTAAGACTTAAGTCTATTTATATGCCATATATGTAAAATTAGATCAAATCGATTGTGAGTCCTCTAAGTTAATTAAAAACAAAAAGGGAATAGGCGGGCCTAGCCCGCGGAACCCACAGTCCGTAGAGGGGGCGGGTTGGGCTAACTTTTCACAGTCCCGCCGCGATGGCAGGTATAGGCCGGCCACCCCGCCGGCTAGTTTTGACAACTCTACTTATGAGACAAAGCTCAAACTTTTTAAGAAAACGTTCGTCATACCAAACGAAACTTATTTGAACAAGAATTTTATAAGCTAGTTTATTTGGTCATCAAACAAAGCCATAACTTATAGCTTATGATTTATAGATAAAGGCCTTGTTTGTTAATCAGCTGTTAGCTGTTAGCTGTTAGCTGTTCGTATTAGCTGTTTTGACCAACTGATTGCATTAGCTGTTTTGACCAGCTGATCGTTGTTGTTATGTGATTGTTAACAACGATATAAGTTATGATTAAATGAGTAATTTGGAATGATTTGAACGTAAAGCATGTAGGATTGAATCAACAATGGCCCCGGTCCGAAGTGAACCGAGGTGAAGAGCCGTGATGGGCTTTTACGTGTTGCATGGTAAAGTGTTTACAGTTCGGAAATTTGGAGAAAAGAGAGAGATCCTTTACAATGGTCATAGGTCCGCTATTTATAGTAGTTCCCGGTTGAGACATTGGGATCCGTGTACTACTTTTTGAATAAAGTGGCTTTTTATGGGCGGTTCGAGGCAGGGGGCCCCACATAAATGATGACAGATCTTGTGGTGTAGGAGAGCTTCTCGTAGATGCCTTGTCACCTGCTTAAGGAGGTGACGACCTCGGTTCATGATGTCCTCGGTGGGTGTTGACCTCGGTAATCGTCGGTCACTTCGGTCCTTGGCGGTTCAGATCGGTTCTTTGGTGTTGATCGGTGTGGTTATGATTCATGTTGGTTTAACTGTTAATCGCGTTTAATAAGATGCTCAAAACCTTTTTAACAGCGTCTTGCCGAGTCGGATGATAACAGAGAGGCCCCCAACATCGATGGGCATCCGGAGTGATGGTCGTTGATGTTGCAACACATAAGGTACTTTAGAGACCCTGGATCGGCAAGAAGTCGGTGGTGCGATGTGGTCTATGGCGTTCGGTGGATCAGCTTCGGTCGATTTTCCGATGTAACCAAAATGGATCATTTGTCCGGAGTGCAGACTGTGTGCCGAGGTGGAAACACTTGGTGAATTTTGGGGTAATTTTCAAGCAGTTAATGACAGAAGTAATGAACGGTCGTAACGGTCAACGAGTAAATGTGCAGGCCGAACGGTCGCGCCGTAATGGTCTTAAAGGAGGTAACGGTCGACTTTAATAGGCAGCCACGTATACCAGTAGGTGTCTCATCAGATGAAAGGGCGGCGTCGGTTAGGATTAGGGGTCGCGTCGGTTCGACGCGCCCCTAGCGGCGATATCCAACGGTCACAATCTGATGCTTATAAATAGGGTTTGGC